TATCAAATCAAATAAATTACACATAAATATTAAACACATAGCTTATCAAGGCCGTATCAATTTTAAATACAATGAATGGTAACAGTTGTGGTCAATAGAACGTGGAGTAGGGCCACAAATATATATATATATATAATAGATATATATATATATATAAATACATATATAAAGGAGAAATAATATTTAAAAAAAAATTAAATTACCAATATATAAATTAACATTCCATCGGTCAAAATAACAAAGAAATAAAGAATGTGAATAATGGGAATAAAATATTGTAAAAGAAAAGTTGGAATAATAAATAAATAAATCTAATATATTTAAAATTTATTTATTTTATTGTTTTGTGACAAATTTGGAAAACTATCTAAATAAAAGAGATTTGTATGGCACAGTGCGTTGAGTTCATTGCGCTTATTTATTATTCTATTGTTATAAATAGTCGAAAAAGATCCTTCTATAATTCTTCGTTTAAATAAATTTTGTTTGAATTGCATAAAAAGCACAAGTGGTTAAGATATACTAGATTAAGAAATAAAATAGTAATAAGTAATAAATGAAATAGTAATGGATTATACTAATATAAAAAACTTATTTTAGTTACAATTTAGTAATAATATAATAAATTAAAGAAATGTAATTAAATAAACAGTGATTTTGAAAATATATTACAGGACAAGATTTTAATTGTTTAAGATTCTTTTAGATTTACAGATGCTTCTTCAAAAAATAAATCCTCCTTTTTAAAAAACAAATATTATTTCTCCCCTAGGGTAAGTTATTGTAATCGTCCAAAAATCGAAATTGAAATTTTTTACATTTCTCCACGTTTCAGGGTTTTGAACATTTGGGCATACCTCAGAAAAATGAATGTGTGTGTATGAGTGTGTGTGTATGTATGTATGTATGGATACAATTTTTCGTCTACGTTTTCGGCCGCGCGGATGAACCGATTTGAATGGTTCAAAAAGCATTCGATTTCTATTGATAGGAAGATGTGCTGATTAGTTTTTGGCAAAGGCAGGTCCAGCCGTTTCGAACATACGGAGCAAAGAGTGGGGAAAATAAAACTCGAGTTTTTGAGAGAATAGATAATCCGATTTGAATAATTCAAAAAACATTCATTTCGTAATGATGAGAAGTGGTGATTAGTTTTTAAAAAAGGCAGGTCCAAACGTTTTGGAGATAACAAGCTAAATGTGCAAAAAATTGCAGTTTCGAAAGAACTAAGCATCCGATCTGAATGATTCAAAAAACTTCATGCTTGTGTTTGACGAAACAATTGTTTTAGCAAATGAAAAAGATTATTTTATTATTGAATATCAAACATAATTCGGTTTCAAAATTTTAATTCGATACGGAAAGTTCCAGCAATTTGCCTCAAAGCACGATGCCATACACCACTAATTTTTTAATTAACAATTATACAAACTCTATTCTCATTATAATTAGTGAATAGAAACATTGGTTCGGAACCCATAAAAACGTAAACAAAATTTAAACTCATTGAAATCTCTATAAAATATCTGATAATTTGATGTGGATATGTGTGATGATCATTTCTGTACGCAAAATAGATTTTGAAGCAAAACTTCTTTAGGCGCGACTAGGGTGCAAATCCGTACAAATGCAACGGAAATGCGTTACGCTAGAATTGTACGTCATTCGCTCTCGATGAAATCATTTCAATAAGGGTCGATTGTGATTAGTCGTCGTGTATGTGAATAGATTTCTGTCGTTGTATGATAAATAAACATTTTAAAGTCACATCGTAGTACAAATCCAGATTTAATGAAAGATGTCTGAATCAGAAGAATATTTTACCCTGTTCTTCGAGAATAATAAAACAAATTAAACATTTGTGCCGTGTACTAAACGTAAGTTTATTGATTAAAAAATTATTACTATATTATTCATAGTTTCTATAAATCTTTGAAATTATTAAAATAGAAAAAATATTTTAGACAAAACAGATACAATTGTTCAAAGAATGAGATTATATCGCTAGCAAAAAAGTTAAAAAAAAAATACAAGCAGTCAATGAATGTATGTTAATTTAATTAATTGAAGTTCTTCAAACACAATTACATGACGAATGAAGTTGCGAAAAACAATATTTGTTTAGGCGTTGTTTAACATAATCCACTGTATGAACGAATATTAATGAAGTTATTAATCAACAATTACTTCATTTCTCTAATGAAGGTTCGTTTCTAAGTGCTAATTACAATGACAAACCGATCATGTCATATTTGAAGTATAACTTTAATCACATAATTGCTTTTTAATATTATAAATATTTTTAATGCTATTATAAATATATAATTTATAATTTATCATTGTAATTTAGAGACCCAATTAAATAAAATTTATTTTCTAATTTCAAATTTCAAATTTCGCGTTTGTCCTTCAATGGCCGTCTACAAAAATGTTTACAACTGTTAAAAAAAAATGTCATTCCTTTAAGGCAAAAAACTTGCACGGGACTGTACGCGATGATACACGTTAATAGTTCGTTTCGTTCAAAATAGTGCAAACAAAGAAAAGTCTTAAAAAACCGACAACCAATGTCTATTGAACAAATAAATTAATGTGATTAGAATACACAATTATTAATTTTTAAGTTAATTTAATCTAATATTATTGACAAAACCCACAACAATGGCGGTGCGACAAAGAAAGGTAAATATAACACAACGATGACGTTTCAAGCGCCGCACTGACAGCAAAAAAAAACTAATAAAATTTTGCTAATGGCGAAACTGGATTGTTTATATTTGAAGTTTTACGTAATGTTAAATAGATAAACATAAACATGGCTTTGTAATAGATTTGTTATGATAGTTTGTATAGTAAATTCATTTGTGCCAAAGCAAATTTCTGTTGCTAACCTAAAAGTGTTAAGTGTCAAATTCAACCACCATGGGCTATGAATACACCCTGGTAGTAATAGATTGTTAATATATAATTTATTTATATAAAATGGTACTAACATTTTTTGTATTTTTTGCAGATTGAACAAAAACATGATACAAACAATCATCATAGTTTTAATGCGTCAAATATAAGTGGACGCCCTAAGATACAACGCCAGTTTTTTCTAATTGTATTATGGTTTTTATAGTGATTTATATTTGGTGAGTATTAGATTTTATATAATTACTAGCTAACCCAGCAAATATTGTTTCACATATAAAATATTTGCAAACAATTTTTAGAGAACCCACAAATTGTCAATTCAAACATTTCAAAGAAGTTTTTTGAATTTTCCATTCAAATTTTCAGTTTCATTTAACATTTGACATATGAGCCGCATACAATTGTTCCATTTTAAATTAAAACTGTAAAGTTTCTATGCAGTTTTGAAATAATCTCTCACCTTTCCCACAACCTCTGGATTAGCACGAATATTTCAGGACTAAAACTGGCCAAATCTGTACAGCAGTTTTAGATTTTAGCATACTTAGCATAATACCGGAATGCATTTTCATATATAAGAAGATTTTTAGTTATATAATTTGATGATTAACAAATAATTCACAGGGGTTGTTGTAAAAATATCTTAACAATGAACGCAACTTTACAGGGTTTTAATTTTTTTTTTATTGTGGGGTTAGTATGGATATAGTATTTGGTTTTTAACCCTTTGCTCTCATATCGTGTACTTTTTTCTGAAAGTTTTGATATAGACTGAAATGTATGGATTCAGCAAATTAATGTTTAATTACCAAGTTTATTAACTGGTAATACAATACAAATATATATAATTGATTTTTCCTGGATTTTTTAATTAATTGATAAGGGTTTCTTTTTTGAACAATTAATCCAATAAATAAATAATAAATGGTATTTTAGAGCTATTTTTGTTGTGTTATGAACATGTTCATTCAGGTTTTGGCTAGTTTCTCTGATATAAAAAAGATTGCAATTAGAGCATTAATGTAATATATTAAGTTCCTGAGGCAGCCGGAACCTCATATATATATAGATATATATATATATATATATTCAATAAAAGTTTATAAAATTCTTATAATTCTATACATTTGAAATATTATTTTGTATCATCTTCAGTGGAATGTAAATTGGAATACTCTGAATTATTTTGCATTCTACTGAAGATGACATAAAATAATATGTTGAAATGTATGGAATAAATAATATATATAAATATATTTATATATGTGGTGTGTGTGTGTGTTCTTGGCCATCTATCCAATAATTAAAACAAATTTAATAAAGACAAATGTCTATTATGCTTGCATTAAAAAAATTACAAGACTACAAGCTATATAAATACATATATACAACTTATAAAATTAACAAAAATATAATTATAAATATGAATAAAAACATAAGTGTAAACTTATTTATATTTATATTTATATTTTGTTAATTTATAAGTTTTATATATTTATAAAAGTTGTAGTCTGTAATTATTTAATGCTAGTATAATAAAAAACATTTTTCTTATTAAATTTGTTTGTTTTGATTATTGGATGGGTGTCCAAGAACACTTCATCATATATTTTTCATTATCTGACGAAAAAAAAACCTGATATATATAGATTATATATATATATATATATAATAAATATAATTATATATATATCTATTGTATATGTTTTGTAGAGCTTTGAACAAAGAATCCAAAAAGTAATAAACAAAAAGTTTTTTTTCAATCCAAAACATTACTTTATTACTTTTTGGATTTTTTGTTCAAACCTCTACAAAAGATTTACTGAAAAAAACACTTTATATAAGTTATACAATATATGTAATATATATATATATATATATATATTATATATATATATATATATATATATATATATATATATATTAGGGTGGTCCTTAAAATGGTCATTTTCGAATTTCCTTGCTCCCAGGGGCTCAAATGGTTTCAAATAGATAAAAAACACATTCTCTGAAAGTTTTAGCTCTTAATATTAACGTTAGATAGAGCGCAATTCAATCAAAGTTTGTATGGAAAAGCATGGAAAAATTTTTGAAAGTTAAAAAAAAATGTTTTAGGTATAACTTAGCGACAAATGAATGAGTTTTATTCATTCATTTGTTCACTAAATTACATCTAAAAACCATTTTTTAAATTTTTGAAATTTTTCCATGCTATTTCCATACAAAACTTTGATTGAATTGCGCTCTATCTAAACGTTATATTAAGACTAAAACTTTCAGAGAATTGTTTTTTTCTCTATTGGAACCATTTGACCCCTGGGAGCAAGAAATTCGAAAATGACCATTTTAAGGCCACCCAATATATAATATATATTTACACACAAACACAAATATATATATATATATATATATATATATATATATTTGTGTTTGTGTGTGAATATGATACATACATACCATTTTTGCACAAATTTATTGTTTTCTAAATTTCAATTACACACCATTAGGTAATTCAAGACCTTCACGATTTTCATAATTAATAATATTATTTTTAACTTTAAAAGTAATACATCTGAAAAAATAATAAATGGTACGAACTACCATACAACTGCTTTGACTAAGTAATTTTTTACATCGAGTCTAAAGGCAGTTTCTTGTGGTACTTTTACTACAGCCTTAACAAAAGAATTTTGTAGTCCTGATATATTTTGTTGCTAGTAAACATTGTATTTGTTGAATTATGGGTGTTAGATTACTTTCCCACAATTGAATCCATACAGATTTATTTATGAGATGCTTTTTATCCATACTTAATCTTGATTTACTACCAATGAGTAACCTCTAAATCTAAATTTAAAAGTTTGAGTTCAATTTGTTTTAGTTTCATGATATGTTTATTTGATTTTCAAGTTGACTTGAAATTAAGAATGATTTTGGAGTTATTTTCCTACTCAGTATTATTCTCTTATTACTATGAAGTGCCAAATGTTCCCTCAAATCATTCAATTGAGTACATTCCTTATTGCATATTTCACATTTGCTCTCTGTCATGAATTTTCATGTGTCTTTTCACACTACTTGATTGTTTGAATGCCTTTTTGCATATACTGCAATCATAGGGCTGCTCACTACTGTGAACTGTTTTCGTGTATTCTCAGATTACCTTTAGTTGCAAATGTCCTTTTGCAATAGTGCATTCATGGGGGCGCTGACCACTGTGAATGAGCAAATGTCTCTTCAGATTACTTACTTTGGTGAATGTTTTATTGCACATACTGCATTCATAGGGGCGCTCATTATTGTGAATGAATGTGACTTTCAGACTGTCTCGTAGTCTGAATGTCTTATCACACATACTGCATTCATAGGGGCGCTCACAACTGTGAATTGTTATGTGATATTTTAGATTACCTAATTGGGTATATGTCTTTTTGCATATACTGCATTCATAGGGGCGCTCACCACTATGAATGAACATGTGAATTTTCAGAGCACCTAATTTGGTGAATCTCTTATTGCATATTTCACATTCAAAGGGACATTTTTTCAGAATGTATAATCATGTGTAGTTTTAGCACTTTTGATAGTTTGTAAGTCTTCTTACAGATTCCGCATTTGAAAGGGCGTTCTTTTCTATCACTAGGCTTGTGATTGAAAATATGATCCGTTAACTTATGTGATTCTGCAAATGATTGATTACAAATGTTACATTCATAAGTGAATGTCTCGATTGACTCTTGTTTGACTTCTTCTTCTATAGTCACTTCGGATATCATGAATCTTTCTAAACACGTTTCATCATCCTCAGAACACGACTCAGATTTGATATTGGCATCAAAAACATCTGATTCATCCTCAATTTCGTGTTTAATGTCTTCTGCTGAATATTCTGTTGGTTCAATTTTAATTGCTTGATCATTCATAGACATAATTGTTTCTTCTGACATCTCTCAATATTTTCACTGTGTTTAATCAGTAAATATTTACGAAATAACTGTGTGCTAAACAATAATATAATCTAGTCTAATCACTAATATCATAATTATAAAAGTCAACTTTTCAACTGAATCTACCTGCATTTATTTTTGACATTTGAAGCATAGAGTATGCATTAGAAAGACGAGACATTTTTAAAATTGGCGGGATATTTAACAAGTGGCGCATCTTTTCAACTTCATTATGGTTCTCTATGGTGGAAATGTCAAACAATAAATTTTGGTGAAATCATTATCAAATGTCAAAATTATTGATTAAACTTGATTATTATTATTATTGTTTATCACACAATTGTTTTCGTAAATATCTACTGATTATACGGAGTGAAAATATTTAAAAATGTCAGAAGAAGCAATTATGCCTATGAATGATCAGGCAATCAAAATTGAACCCCCAGAATATTCAGTAGGCAATATAAACAAGAAATCAAAGACGAAATTGATATTGTTAAATCTGAATCATATTCTGAGGATTATGAAACGTGTTTAGATACATTCGTGAGTTCCGAAATGACGATCGAGGAAGAAGTTGAACAGGAGTCTTATGAATGTAACATTTGTAGTCAATCATTTGCAGAATCAGATCATCTAAAAGAGCATATGGTCAATCACGAGCCTAGTGATAGCAAAGAACGCCCTTTCAAATGCGGAATCTGTAATAAGACTTTCAAACTATCAAAAGTGTTAAAAACGCACATGGTTACACATTCTGAAGAACGTCCTTTGAATGTCATATATGCAAAAAGACATTCACCCAATTAGGTAATCTGAAATGTCATATGCTCATTCATAGTGGTGAGCGCCCCCATGAATGCACTATATGCAAAAGGACATTTACAAATTCAAGTAATCTGAAAAAACACGTTACAATTCACAGTGGTGAGCACCCCTATGAATGCAGTATATGCAGCAAGACATTCAGACTATTAGGAAGTCTGAAAGGTCACATGGTCGTTCACAAGGGTGAGCGCAACCATGAGTGCAACATTTGTAATAAGACATTCACACAATTAGGCAATTTGAAACTTCACATGCTTGTTCACACCGGTGAGCGTCCGCACGAATGCCGTATATGCAACAAGACATTCACACAATTGGGTTCTCTGAAAACTCACATGCTCATACACAGTGGAGTGCGCTCACATGAGTGCGGTGTATGCAATAAGACATTTACACATCTAGGTAATTTAAAATGTCACATGCTGATACACAAAGGAGTGAATGCCCATGAATGCAGTATATGCAAAAAGACATTCAGACATCCAGCTAGTCTGAAAAGTCACATGGCGACGCACAATGGAGTACGTGTCCATGAATGCAATGTATGCAAGAAGATTCATACATTCAGGCAGTCTGAGAAGACACAGGCAGATTCATAACAGAAAACATGCTTATAAATGTGAAGAATGCAATGAGGGATTTACTGAATTGAACGATTTCAGGATACACATGGCACTTCACACAAAAGAAATCAATGAAGTATTATAGCAACTATGATTGCTATTCTATTATATTGATTCATATTACTATGTTTAATATTAACATAATCAAATTAGGTACTGTTTAATGAATATAAATTTATAATAAACAATTTTGTAACCAGTACTCTTAAGATAGAACATGAACAGAAAACATTTGCAATAAGCATATATTGTAAAACTTCTTTCAAATACTGTGATAGATTTTTTCTTATTAAAAACTCCCTGGCTATGGAGAATGTTACTAAAGAATTAAGATATGCACCTAAGATTATTCGAGTAGTCTAACAGCATTAATATAACTGTATTTATTTATGTATAAGCAAGCTTTTAATTATATACATAAAATTTCTGACTTAACTACATTTTTTATGTTATTTACTCTATATATCTGTTACTAGATGACCCGATAGACATTGTCCTGTACCCACGTCTACAATTCAAAAGTTCCATATTTTTCAATATCCTGTCCTATACTTTTTAATATCCTATTCGATGTCCTGCATTTGTGATTTATTTAGGTCTTATTATAATCAGAATAAGAAATTTAGAAAAAATAATATAGTATCTGCGATAAAAGAACAATATCACAATTGATTTTACCACTTGCATATAAATTGCATATAAATTATTATATATATACATATATATATATATATATATATATATATATATATATATTATACATTATACATATATATCATGTAAATATATACCGTGCAACATGAACAAGGTGGATGTAATATTATTCGAGAGTTATTAATGCAATATATCACAAGGCCTGAGAGGAATTTCGAATATGAAGCCAAGAGGGCATTTACCTGATGTAGTACTTCAGAAATTAATATAACACATAATTCAATATATATATATATATATATATATAACGGAATTACAAAAAATATTTCAAACGTTCTTTCCATACAATTTTTTTCACAAAAGCACTCAAATCCCCATCAACTCACAATCGAACCAACTAACCATATCCACCATGTCCATCTCTTTTATCCATATATGCAATATCAATTAATATTTTAATTGCACAATGCCCCCCCATGCCCGAAAAGCCCACATATAAATCCTGTGCATTTATTATATACAGATGTCCTTTTGTGTTCGAATTAATTTCAGTGGAAATGAATGAAGCCATTATTATTTGTCCAGGGTATTAAAGATTAATATTTATAATTATGGTTTTATTAATATACAAGAGATAGTGTGTGTGTATGGACTGTGCAGATGATATTGACAGTATGAAACAATTAGCACTACATTTATGTGGAGTGCCGGAATGGGAATACAGGGGCGAATTGGAGAAAGATTTTATATATATAATATATATTTATATATATATATATATGTATACTAGACGGCCCGACAGATGTTATCCTGTACCCGCGCCTCCAATTCAAAAGTTCCAAATTTTTTAATATTCTTTCCTATACTTTTTAATATGCTATTTGATGTCCTGTCTTTGTGATGCATTTATGGTCTTAGTATGAGCATTATAAGAAATTCAGAAAAAATAATATTAGTATCTGCAGTAAAAGAACAATATCACACTTGATTTTACCACACAACATAATTGCTTCAATAATTTAGTCTATAATTTTCATAATCTCGTACGATATATTAATTGCTTTTCGGCAAATATAATTTCTAAAGTACATTTTTCTTACTAATAATTTAATAAACATTATTGTTTATGTTCAAATCTTAGGTGAATTAATTTGTAAAATATAGTTCATATGGGCACTATTCAATCTAAGATCAACTTGATAAATACTCAATATCCGATGCCGATCAAATGTATTTTTGTTACATGAAACAAAATTCTAAGTCATTTTTTTAATAAGTAGAAATATTGTTTTGTATTGTTAAATAATTTAGTGAAGTAAACCAAATGCGACATGCATAAGTTTAAAAAAATAATGTACATATATGCAATTTTGGACTTGATGCGTTTTTTATTGAACGGAATTATATAATTTCATCTGCCAAACAGATTCTGTTGACTGTATCTTATATTATTTTAATTTCTGGCACATCTTAGCTGCTGCATATATTCTAATATTATCTGGACTCATAATTCAGCTAAATTCAAATTCAAGTAAATTGACATGTCTAGCAGATGGCATTTCAAATGTTTTCAATGTCGAACAATGATAAGTATTTTGTTGTAATTTTTGCCATTTTTTACAATATTACTATAGTTTTATCGTTCATTAAATCTTAAATTTTTCTTTAACAAATTCTAAAAAGAATTATCAAAATCCGAATAACCGTTTGGGAGAAGTATCGAATCATATACACGTACAGAAGAATTATATATATATATATATATATATATATATATATATATATATTCATGAAGGCTTTTGGGGGAAGTGCGGTTTGACAAAAAACCACCAAATAAACCTGGGGAAAGGATTGTCTAGTAAGATATCACGTGTATTTATTTTTTGTCTGAATTTTAAAAAAATCCAACAGTTTCATACGAAATACAAAATTACACGAATACAAAAATACAATTCTAAGTCATTTTTTTAATAAGTAGAAATATTGTTTTGTATTGTTAAATAAGTTAGTGAAGTAAACCAAAATGCGACATGCATAAGTTTAAAAAAATAATGTACATATATGCAATTTGGACTTGATGCGTTATTTATTGAACGGAATTATATAATTTCATCTGCCAAACAGATTCTGTTGACTGTATCTTATATTATTTTAATTTCTGGCACATCTTAGCTGCTGCATTATATTCTAATATTATCTGGACTCATAATTTCAGCTAAATTCAAATTTCAAGTAAATTGACATGTCTAGCAGATGGCATTTCAAATGTTTTCAATGTCGAACAATGATAAGTATTTTTTGTAATTTTTGCCATTTATTTTTACAATATTACTATAGTTTTATCGTTCATTAAATCTTAAAATTTTTCTTTAACAAATTCTAAAAAGAATTATCAAAATCCGAATAACCGTTTGGGAGAAGTATCGAATCATATACACGTACAGAAGAATTTTATATATATATATATATATATATATATATATATATTTATGAAGGCTTTTGGGGGAGGTGGGGTTTGACAAAAAAACACCAAATATAACCTGGGGAAAGGAAGGGTCTAGTAAGATATCACATGTATTTATTTTTTGTCTGAATTTTAAAAAAATCCAAACAGTTTCATACGAAATACAAAAATTTTACGATGTTTTTTGTAACTTTTTTTAGTATAATTAGAGAATCTCGAAGTATTCATCAAGACTTTACTGATCAAACAGATCTCGTTTCTATTTGAGTCTTATTGATCTTGTTGGATCACAGAGTTAGTATCAAATAATAAAATAGGAAAAGTTCGAATTAAATGTAAAAACTTTGTAAATACACGTGGGGAAGGGGGTTTATTTGGAATATTGTTACGTATCCTCAAGGGGATGTCCAAAAATCCTTAAAAAATCGATC